TTTTTTTTAAAAAGTTCACAAGTTCTAGCACTGCATCATAAGAATTATGCAACCATGCATAATTATAGCAACCATGAGTGATATTATAGTATTCCCCATGTGCAGGAAATAAGTGAGGTGGGATAAAAACAGAAGTGGGATTCAGCCAGTTTGGACGGGTTCATGCAAACAAGTAGTTCCGGTGATCAGTTGGCCCCACCCACCTGGCCCTGCGCTAGTTTGTCCTATATTTCCTTTGTCTGAAGCCCAGCTAATAGGCGCAGCAGAGCGGATTGCCACGCCTCAGCTGTTTTACTCACTGGGGCTGCAATAGAAGGTAGGTTTTAGAGCTGTTTTCAAACGCACTGCGTGCACATGCACTCATCAAACGGGTTGTTACACAAGTTGAATCCCACCACTGAATAAGAAAGATGGTAAAAATGGGCTGTCGTCTTAAATGGGATTATCTTTATAGTTATGATGACATCATCCTGCATTTTCCTAATAAATTATAAAAAGGGCAAGACTGTTTTCTTCTGCATATCCAGATGATGTTCCATCTTAGGAACTTCAGAAGTTGATCACAATTGTTCAGGCATGCGGAGGATTTCAATTTGGCTATAGAATGAGATGTGCAGTTTGGTCCTACCTTTTCTCCCCTGACTTCCACAGATTTAGCTGGCATTCAAAGAAGACATAGTAATTCTTATTTGCTTGAATATGCATATGTTCTCCTGATAATGTGGTACTGTTTTATTAAGGAGCTGAACTCAATGGAGAGATATATGCATACTTAGTGATGTGAGCTCATTTCCCCTTTCAGAAACTCATCTGAAGGTATGGAATTCAGGAAGAATAAAGGGCAGAAATATACATACATCTCCCTTTTCCACCTATGTATATGCTTGATTTATATAACTGATTGCTTGAAAAGAGCTTATGTAAGATTTTTTAAGCCCCACATCCACTGTTATCTGCTAGCAGCTGTCTGAAAAGCAGCCATTAAGATCTCTAACTTTTAAATGAAGAGCCTTTTGCATTTTTAGTACACAAAATAAGTGTTCAGGTATTGATTTAGTATGCAAAAAAGTGCTTCATTTCAGCCATCACTAGTTTCAATAACAGTTTTATAGTTTTCTTTATCCAATCTCTCCCAAATCCCCATGGAAGAGAAATGGATACTTTGTATACTTAATTCCATTTTGACATTATATTCTGAACACTATTGGCTATTTTATGTAATTTTTTGTAACAGTCTTCCTAGAAAATATCTAAGGAATTAAATATTATCCTTTCTTCAGAGATTGACTGAACTGATATATAACTGAAAGAACAGATGTTCACTCCAAAACAGCTTCTTTTCTCCAAACAATCAGGAGAAATAGTTCTCTTGGAATGGTTCTACAATAAGGTTTGCTTATTGTATAGTCACTGAGTAATGTGTAGGCTTAGTTTTGCTTGTACTGTAATCCCATAAACTGATGGAAAGCTAGCAATAAAATAAATTACTTTGGACTATTATAATGCATAGCCTGTGGGTGCTTCTTTAAAGTCATATTGGAAGATAGTACGCTAAAACAAACAATGACTTCTATAAAGTCATTAAAATGTTTATTCAACATTATCTTGGTCTAGTAAATATATTTATTATTTTCCAAAAAATGCTTTTTCAAGAGTTAGGGTTGAAGAAGCTTCTTGGATGAGAAGTGAAACATCTTCAAAGGAAAAAAAAAACAAAGTCCAGTTGCCTCTTGAAAAAGCATCTTTGGGACAACCATGATGACTGAGAATCTACTTAGATATTTATTTATTTGTGTAATTATTCATAGCTTTCCCACTTCTAGATGGTTGCAGTAGAGTAGAAAACCAGTCATTAGCAGAAGTGAAATTAAGACTACTTTTAAGAAAGTAACTTCAGTAACAGGAGAGGGACACATATTTCAAAAATCATGTCCATTAATCTTCTGAATATTTTAAATAGTGGATTATCTAGTTACATAGCTACTAATCATGGCAACTATTTGCAATCAAAACTAATAAAATTCAGTATTTAGAACTGTCAGAAAAAGCAATTAATTGGCTACTATGGGAAACAAGATAGTAGATGGGATAAGTTTTTTTTTCATGTGATCCAAGTATATTCTTCTTACAGGTTTTTAAAACTAAACTTAAGTGGATACAATCAATTAAAACTAAATGAACAATCGCTTGAAGAGATATTTGAAACCTTAAATGAAAGTAGTGAAAACAACTCTATTGAATTCTTCATCTTGCTAATGAAGATTTCTGGGAACCTCAAATATGTATCTGGCTTTGTAGGGCAAATAGGGCAAAATTTGCAATTTTATTAGCATATCAGTGTGTTTAAAAACAATTTAACAGAACTACAGCTGTCAATAGATATATATTATGTAATCAACATAAGTAATGATGACAGCGAAGAACAGAATGCGAACACAATATTCTCACATACAAAAATGTAAGAAAAGGAAGTACAGTACAGAAGACAAACAGTTTATTTGCAACTCAGATATGAGTTACACATATTCAAAAACCTTTTGAGTGGTGGAAAACAGAAGCCCCTTGATGATAGCCCAGTTGATTCATTAGGCTCATCTTCCATTACAACAGCTGAATTTCATTGCCAAACAAACAATTGGTTCTTTTCATCTTCTGCTGAAATGCAATCCTGAATCAAAATAGTTGTCCTACATTTTGTATCAAAAGAGATCTGTTGTAAGAATTGAAATGAGCACAAAACACTGCAAAGATGAGGATTTCATCTGAACTAGTGCCTTTGTGGTACAAATCTGATATAAGTTAAGGCACAAGATATTGTCATTTGATTCTTCCTTTTTTTCTGAATGAAATGGCTAGCAGTACATCAATATAAGGCAAAAGTAATTCCATCCTGTTATTTTAAAAATGATTATACGCTATTTTTAAAATCACACGTTCAGTTGAATTCTAGTTACAAATTTAAGGACACAAGCAACATCCATTTCTATCTCCTGGAGATGTAAAAGAATTGGATTTCTGCAGGTTATTTTTTAACCAACGAACAGATGACTTGAACCAAACATTCTACACTATTATAGTGATTTAAAGATTTATGTATACAAATCAACAAGCCAGTTTTACATCTGCTGTGACTTTACAAAAGGAAATGTCCTCAAGCCCTGAGGATCTATATTTTTTAGCAAAATTATAGCTGTGATTTATCATTTTCTTGCAGAATATTTTTATTTTAAAAAAAACTTTCCCAGATTAACACAAGGCCTTGGAATATCCTTGTGGTCTGCTCTCCAATAACTACCCAGGTCCAACACTGCTTAACTTTTCAATATTAGCCAACTTTGGCTTTCTGTTTTCATGTAGATTAATAGTAACTTGATTTGAAAAACAGCAACATGTTATTGGCATATTAAATCTGATTTTAAAGTATCTAGAATCATGACATTAGCAATTATCTGCAATTCTTTAAAGCCATTTAGTATGTTCTCAAAGCTGCACAAATACTCTTTACAGCACTAGCAAGTATTATCCAGTGGTGCTAATTTCATCTTTGTTAATATTTGATCATTCGTGATGTAAACATGAAAATCAAAATTTATATAATTGGCATAGGAAATTAGTAACTTAAAGATCTTGATATTAAATTTGGTATTATATACATTGATGTTATTCATTTCAGGAAGCAAATGATTATCAGTTATTATATTTAAGATCTTTTTCTGATTTGTCATTATTTTACAAATGTTATTGAGGATTTGCAGAACATTTTTGGCTAGTAAGCCAAAAGCATACAGTTGAAGCATCAAACTGTGGGTCTGCTTTAGTTATTAAGATCTAAATGAGTGACTAGATCAGTAAGATAATGCTAGTTGTGATTAGAGAAATAATAATTTATAATAAAAAAAATCCTGAGCATAATGAATTGTATAGTCTGAATTTTTGCTCACTTTCCTGAATAATTTTCACTGAGAAATGATCTAGGGCTAAAACATTTAGGGGGAAAATATGATAAAAATCTCCAGAATTCTACTACTATTAAAATATATTTAAGTGGTTGCTTACCTAAATGTTTCCCCAGATTTTGTTTTAAACCTACTACATGCAGACAACAGGTAAAGAGAAAACTACCCTTTCTTCAAAAAACAAAAGAATTACAGAAAACTTCAGTAATGCAATTATTTCTTATGTTTTGAAGTGATACCATAACTACATCATTCAGTTTTTCTGGCATGCATAGAAAGCATATAATGTAATCAAGGTAATCAATGTATTAACCTCCCAAATGAATGAGTATCAAATTGGCATCGAAGTAAAGATCCTTCTACAATAGCTGCACCTCGTCCTCACAATGCTTTAAGGATTTTAGAAGTCTTAGCAAAATGGGAAGGTTGAGTTCTCAATGCTGTTTCACAGTTGATTCTATGCTGTTCCATAGAAAACTAGGTTTCCTTAAGGTGAAATTCTCCAAGAGAAAGAAGTTCTACCTAGACCCATTTAGCTCTGCATAGCTGCTCCATCTAGAATATCTGAGGAACAATAACAGAGTTTACAGCAGCATTTTAATTTGCTGTAATTTCCAAGTAGCCAGTTGCAGAGAGTACTAACATATAGAACAAGTATACGTGTCAAGAAATTAAAAATATCCATTGTGAAGCTATGGGCATCAAAATTGAGTGGAAGACTTATTCTGATTACAATCTAAAACACATCAGAGTTTAATCAAGTTTTTTTTTACATTATTGAAATGCCTCTATTTTCTTTGAAACTCTGAATTATTATTATACATTTAAAATAAGGCACATTATTCCAAAATTAAAGAAACTATAAATTCTTGAGTTCTGCAAAAAGTATGGAGGAGAAATAATGACATCATTGATATAATTACTTTTTGAAATAGAACATGACCTCATGATAGATTGATTATATCCCAGGAAAATCATTAAAAACATATGTGGTATACAGTGCAATATACTAAAAGGTGCCTCATGTTACTGGCTGATACATACCCAACCCTTCAGATTCAAAGAGACAAGTATCATCCACTCCCACATCTCTGCACCAAGATAGGAAATTTGCTGTATTGTCCCGTGCAAAAAAAGACCCAGATGGAGCATTGGCTTTGCAGGGAATTTTTCTCACTGGCATTTTCTGTAACACAAAGAGAAAGATCGTTATGAATGGTGGCCCATCTTTGTATACAATGACGACTCATACAAAGGCACAACCTGTGGACAGCTAGTTTAGTCCATGAAAATGATCCAAGAACTTGATAGCCTAATCATATTTTACAACTCTATGAAAAGACTGAAATAGTTTGAAGCAATATAGAACAAGGCTATAGAAAGGCTGAAAGTATGCAAAGAAGGCAAAAGTTTTAAATCAAATAGAACAGAAGATCAGAATGTAGGTATGGAGATAGTAACAGTCTGGAACATTAAAGCTCAGCAAGACAAATTCTAGCATTCTAGAAACTTATAAACAACTAATTTGTAGACATCTAACTTTTACACAACAAAGATAAGCAATCAGATATCGGATGATCAGCATAGACATAGAAGAAGCTTGTCACTGAAAAATTTAACAAGAGTAGACAAGGGCGTGTAAACCAGAAACTATCTTAGAATTCTGTGAGGAAAATTTTCAACATTTTTCAATGGTTGGGCCAACAATCCAAGCCACAAGTGAAGACAAAACATAATGTTTTCTCAGCCTTGCAGTCAATATAAACAGAAATTCTTTTCAAATGTGAAAATAAATAAAAATGAAAAATAAACAAATAACCCAAAAGAGAAGATGACTCTTTTTGCAACCATGGGACAATTTGTGCATTGACTCCTCTTCTCTGCCATCTTACCCACCCTTTGGGTCATCTACATCAGAGATTCTAAATCATATTTTCCCTCCTAGTCATCTTCTAAGCCTTATTTACTTCTGTCACTTCTAAAAATATGACAGGCTGCAGGGAACATATGGCCCATACTGAAAACTACTGATATGAACAAAAGATGATATTTTGCACCATTTTATTGTGATGTAAAGGCTACCTAAATTTTTTTTTGCAACCCACCAAGTAGGGGATGCAGGAAATACAGTGATTGATGCAGGCATTACAATAATTGATGAGTGTCAGTCATGCATGAATTCATGCTTTGTATTTCTCCCTGCCTCTCTCTCTGTACATGGCTTCCCCTGTAACAATAAATGTTGCATCATAGAACAGTGCATATTTTGAAAGCTTTGCTTCTTTGAGTATTCAAACAAATCACTTCATTGAAGCTGTTCCTTGAAGTCACCTCCCTTCCCTTGAAAACAAAATGACCATGTCATTTTGATTAGCTATGCTTTGACAAATAAACTTTTGACATATGCTTCAGAGAATACAGCACTCTCTTTTTCCAATATATCTCGTCCAAGCTTTGGTGAGCCATCTTAAGTAAAGGCATTACTTTACTTTTTCCAGCATGTTCTTCATGCTGGAAAAAGCTTGAGAAGGTTTTTAACCAAGTATAGTTTATGTCAGCAGTGAAATCCAGCAGGTTCTGACAGGTTCTGGAGAACCAGTAGCAGAAATTTTGAGTAGTTCGGAGAACAGCAAATGTACCCCTGGCTGGCCCCAGAGTGGGGTGGGAATGGAGATTTTGCAGTATCCTTTCCCTGCCATGCCCACCAAACCACTCCCACAGAAATGGTAGTAAAAAAAATGAATTTCACTACTCGTTTATGTGCAGCCTCTTCTCCTGGCTTTGGAGGCAGTACTCAAGAAATTTCTGGTCAACATTAAGTGCTTCATCAGAGCATTATACTTTTTTTCAGTGAAGAAAACTACTTTGCCACTGTGGTACAAATATCTTTGATGAAGCAAATCTTAATTGTTCTGCACAGGCCTCTTGTACCATATTTGGATTTTGGTCTTCTATCTGGTTTACCTCAATACCACAACAATCTTGCAGAGTGCCCCTTATCTTCTTGCTTTCTTTCTGGATTATATCAATTAAAACTATTTTCCTTTTTCTGGAACACATAACACAGCTCTCTTTTTTAAACAACCATTCACTGGAAAATTAAGTGACTATTATTATAACATAATTAATTTGTTATTCTTTAAGTCCAAAATTCTTTTTTGACAAAAAATGCCCATAACCCATATAATCCTATGCACACTTTTTTAAATTCAAAAATGTTTTCAACTATATTTCCTTCCACTGAGGTATGCTTAGGCTTTGAGAAGGATGCCTGAGTCATTGGTCACACAATTATGCATGTTCAAGAGAAAAAGCTGGAGATGACTGGAATAAATTTAATTTAATAATGTAAGTGAATTAATTATTCTCCATAATTCTCTACTTCTATCACCTGAAAAATGGCAAAAATTGGAGAAACTCAGGCATAAATGTCTGCAGAGAAACAATGAGAACAATGAAGATATGTATGTCATGGCACCAAATAAGTCATGGCAACTGATATGACTTATGTTCTTGGTGAAAAGAAATCATGACTGAGGTGCCATAATTTTTAAAATCATTCTTATTTGTTTTAGATTATACTGGAATGTTAAGATTATACTGAAAAGATTTCAACAACAACATAACATCTCCTGGTTCAGGTTGTGCAGTCTTATAGTTGTTACCTAGGTTTGTTAATATTAGACATGCATACGAAGTATAACATGAACATATGGGTCCAAAACAATATGCCTAATCTTCTATGCAGAAACAAATCAAGTCTTCAAAAATAAAATATCAGTACATTCCCTATAAATCACAGAACAACTACTCATGCAAGGCTGGAGATTTAAAGGATATAGAGAATAAGCAATCAAGTCAAGAATTTATCAAAATGACTAATACATGCATTGTGACCATGCAAGCTTAATCCTTGATGAACTTTTGTCTGACATTATTATGCAAAAAAAAATAGCTTTGCCTCATGATATGGTGATGTACATTTCAGCAGTTGCTCCCTCTTAATCCCTCATGGACACAAATGAACATTCTTAGGAACATTTCTACAAATAGAAAAATGTCCATATTTATGTGGGACACCAAGATTAAATGAATTTGTTTGTGACAAGGTACATATGTTCATATCCAGATGCAACAATAATACGCACACATTCAAAATTTTCTCATCTGTGAGAAAGTTGGGCTAAAAATAAATGGGTTATAATATTCTGTTTCTCTATTAAAATGATTTATGGAGTATCTGCTTCTGTTCTGGAGCTGGATATTAAATTCAAGATTGTTTTTAAGCCAAGTCCTGGGAAGTACAAATGATGTCTGCAAAACCTTCCAGCTTTGAGTCCAGACATAATTGCATGTAGGGGAAAAAACCCAAACAAACAGCCTTATACAAATTCTTGGCAATATTACAAAACAGTCATGGGGAAGGGAGCACACACAAACAACACAGAATTGACTGAGTTACATTTAACTGTAATTACTGGAAAACTAACTGTATCTGATGTACGATTCCAGTAAAGAAAATTATTTCAAGTAATGAAATCACTTTGGGAGCAGTGAGGATTTTGCTATAAAGTCTCAAGCCATGTATTAACTCTGTTTAGGCCATTTGACTCAAAACTAGATTTTGATATTTTATTTGCATTCCACATCATAGTGCTCAGGCCTACATGGACTTGTATATGGATTGCAGTCCATATAAACATATTGGGAGGATCACTCTCCCTGGGATGTTCCACAGAAGCAACAGATTAATATTCAATGGCAATCATGTCAGGTGAAGCAGCTGGGATGGAAAAGGATCTAAGAGCCAAGTATCCCCATTTTCCTACTAACTCCCATTCAGTTTTTGGCTTTCTGCTTATCAGAATCATGGAAGCCTATCAGGAGTAAAGGAGGAATAGATATGGAAACTAAGCTTTTCTGGATAACAAAGCATTTACCCTTTTTGTTTTAAATTGATTAGGTACCATCGAATCAGTGTCAATTCTTAGCAAGCACACAGATTTTCTGCATGTTGATTTGTTCCTAGCCTGATCTTCAATGTCTTTCAACGCTGTACCACCTTCATATAAATGAGTTCATCCACCTCGCTGCGGGTCGTCCTCTTCTCTTTCCTTTCACCTAGAACATTCTCCAGAAAGCTAGATCTTCACATAATGTGTTTGAAGTAGGATAATTTGAACTTGATCGTTTATGCATCATGAGAATTCGAGTCAACTTATTCAATGATCCTTTGATTTGCTTTGTGGCTGTCCACAGCATTCTCAAGAATCTTCTCTAGCACCAAAGTTTAAAAATATTGTTACCAGTGGTGAAATTCAATGTTTTTTACTACCAGTTCTGTGGGCGTAACTTGGTGGGCGTGGCAGGGGAAAGGATACTGCAAAATCCCTATTCCCTCCCCACTCCTGGGGGAAGGATATTGCAAAATATCCATTCCCACCCAGCTCTGGGGCCAGCCAGAGATGGCATTTGCCGGTTCTCCAAACTACTCAAAATTTCCACTACCAGTTCTCTGGAACCCAGAGGTGGGTTCCTACCAGT